GAAGACGGAGAAAAGGATTAGGTGGACACGGATGCGCTCCCGGGTCCCGGGCTGCTCCCCCAGGGCGGCATTCCTGCACTGAGCCCAGCAGTGACATCCCTCCACATCGGCTGCAGCGGGCCCGGCCCAGGAGAGAGACTCAGGCGGCCGGGACGGAGCCGCGCTGGCTCCATGCCCACGGCGGGCAGCCCGGCGGGGGAGGCCCTGGGCCGCTCTCACCCACCCAAGGTCCTCGCGCCCTGGTCATCCTTGGGGAGCGTCGACCCTGCTCTGGTGTGTGGGGAACTGTAGGCTCGGGGTTGTTTTCCATGTGGGGTGTTCTCCGCCTCCACACTGTGCATCCCTTCTGTGCGTGAGGGCCCAGAGGAGCACGATGGGAATGGGCACCAGTGAGCCGTATTTATTATTTTTAAAGAAATCACTAATTGCTCTCTGTAATTGCACTGTGGATAAGTGTTCTAAGAGTACCTGATATTGTACAGAATCGTAAATTATTCAAGGAAAATAAGGCAGGTCAAGCTGGTGCTATCCACTAGTTTGATTTCTTTCTCTGTTTTATAGTTTGTTTGCTTTGCATGGTACTTGTAAAGTTTAAATATTTTGAGTGTTCTGCTGTCTAGAATTGTTGGAATTGTACATATGGTACTTTTTCGTAAATGATACATGATTCCGAATGTTAGTGTTTTTTGTTCTTATAGGAAATATTTTTGATGAGTCCAAAAAGACTGCTTTGTTCTGTTGACCGAATGAAACATACGTTTGTCTCTTTCTATAACGCAGGTTCCTTGTAGCAAGTGACGCTTCTCTGAGGAGCTGAAGGGTCTCGCAGCCCCTCTGTGTGATTCTCTCACCCCGCTCCCCCATTTTCTTAGACCCTTCGGTAAAACTTGACAGGTGGTTCCCCCCAGAACTCCGCTTCGGGTCAGAACGTCCAGGTGTCTGTCCTGCCCCTCTCCCTGGGAGCCGCGCTCTGCTGTGGCCCCTGAGCCACCTCCCGTCACGCTGGCTCCTCCGCTTAGTGTTTGGAAGCACAGGCTGCTGGGCCTTCGGTGTCCCTGTGGCTCCTTCCTTCAGCCGGTGCCAAACTCTGAGGAGGAAGCTGCCCGCGCAGGGCTCTGGTTGCCGAGGACAGTCTGAGTTCGTTCTGTTGTACGCACTTGGGTGTTGAGCTTTCAAATAACGTCCAGAGTTTTTCCTGGAATTTTCCTGGAAGAGCCAGTCCGCGTCACGGCCCGCGGCGGCCGGGCTCTGTAACCGAGGAGATACGCTACCTCCCGCAGCCGGGAGCAGGGACGCGAGACCACGGCGAGCCTGCGCAGCCAGCACGTCCTCCTGCTCGGGGCCTCCCACCCGGATGCGGCCCTGGGACTCATCTGCACTGACCCTGCCCTTCTGCTTAAGCACCACGTTTTCCCCTTGCCTTGAAAAGGACCGAGTGTGTCCAGCGCCACCTCCTAATGTTGCCAGGAGTTGGGTGTTGGTGATAAAAAAGCTGAGCTCATTCTGCACTCTGTGAGTTCTGCTTTGACATCAGGAAGTTTCCAGGGCCTAGAGCAGCATGTGCTGAAGGAGGCTTGGCATGTCCGCCGTGAAGCCGTGTGTACTGGGGTCGGGCGTCGGGTCTGTGGTCACCACACACTGGCCCTTCACCCCAAATGTTTTCCGGTGCTGATTTGCTTCCCCGACTCCAGCGTAACACAGGTCCCCCGGGGCTGCGTGATAGAAATCCCAGCGACCCTGGTCCTAGCGCAAGATGCAGTTGTGTATGCTGGCTAGAGTTTACAAAGTAAATTGTGACCTTTATTATCAATTCTAGTTCGCTCCACTAACATTTTATACTAGCAATAACTTTCCAGAGCAAGAACTCAGAATGGAGAAGGAGCCCCCTTTACCCTCCACTTGGTGTGAGCAGGGAGCTGAACAAGGAAAAGTTAATAGGGCATTAGAAGGTGATTTTGCCAAAACTGTCATAACTCTGAATTTCTTGCTGTGAAGACTTCCTGAGTTTCCTGAATTTTTACATCTATCAGTCTTTGTTAAGAGATATATGAGAGGTGATAATTAATACAAGTTTTTTCAAACTATAACGAGTTCAGATTTAATGACTAAAAGTCAAGCAGATCCATAGAATATATAGTCTTCTTGTATAATCAGCCCGGGATAAGTTTATTGATATTCGGGGGCTGTACCTTTTTCACTATGATTAAGGAGATTTTAACAACCTAATTCCCATTTTAATTTATTTTAGGTCTATCTTGCTGTCATGATTAATTGCCAAAAGAAAGCATTTTATACATTGAGTTGGGGGCGGGGGGTTGGAGTAGTAAATCTTACTGTGGTGTTGCATGGTGGGGAAGATTTTATATTTATAATAAACACGTGAGTCAACATGTTCTTTTGAAATCTCAAGCAATACACAGGAAACCAATTATGTAGATGAGAATTTTTGGCCCATCTTTGAAGTGTCAGCATGTGCTTTGTTGTTCAAGTCAGGTTTTCTTTTTGTTTTTTGGGGGTTTTTTTTGTTTTTTTTTTACTACGTTGGTTACCAATAGTGGGTTTTCAGACCGAACTTGTTCTAATAAGTTATGCAATGAAATAAATCAGTGGAATTCTCCAGATAATATGGGTGAGGTTGATAATACCTGGTTCACAGTGGTATTTTCCTGGCCTTCTTTGGAATCTATCAGGTTTTAATTAGTGCTACTCTGGTGGAGTTAACGTATTTTAAATCCTATAATAAAAAGAACCTTCATTTCCTTCCTAGCTAGATGTTAATTTGTGTTATCAAACGATCCTGTCATAAGCCAGAAAAAGAAATAAAAGTGCTCCCCAGATCCTTCTGGAACTTGGACTGTGCGTCTGGGTAAGAAGCCATTCATCTTAAGGGTGAAGAAGCTCCGCGAAGCTGAATTGGAAACAGAGCATTCGTTCTATTTTTAAACGTACAGGTGATTGTTTCTATAGAAATGGGTTTTATCTTAGAAAAGTCTTTGTATGTCTTGCTGCCGTAAAACGCCTTTCAAAACCACTCCCTTGTATTCACATTTTCCATAGGGTACTTGTAGGGTTAGTGACTTACTGCATGTCTGTCCTGAGGGCCCGGGGCGCGAGGGAGGCAGCGCCTGGTTTTACCCGACTCAGCCCATCGCCTGACGATTCCGGACGTGAACCCAGTGCTAGGCTCCAAGTGTTGGGCTTCGGTGATCGGGGCTTCAGAAGAATAGCCTTATGAGAAGTAGCCTTAAAATAAGAATGGGTAACTCGGTTACTTCAGATTTCAATCTCGTGAACAATATTCCTGACAGTAGCGGGGCTGGCTCCAGTTTTGGCTGTTAACGAAGAAACTCTTTAGTACACGTGTAAGCTCTGACAGATGTGCAGACAGTATTGAACTACCAACAACCTGTTACCCAGATGGCTTGAACTAGGTTGCTCAGGCTCACACAAGCGCGGGCAGGCCTCCCCAGCGGGCCGGCGCGTGCATCCACTGTTGGGTCCGGTCTGCGGCGCGGCCCATGGGGCAGTCCCACCCACGCGGCTTCCCTGTTGTGCTTTAACACAGTTGTGAGAGGTTCACGGCAATATCACAGCTAATGAACGTTCAGTTTAAATTGTGTACATTTTTAAATTGTAAGATTTTTACTGTATATTGATGCATAGTGTGATTCAATAAATTGCTTGTAATTTAAAAACTATTTAATATTCAAAATAAATATAGTTATATATTTATAAACTCTGTTGCTGCGTTTCTTTCCTGGTTTTCCCGCTGCTATGTGAGGCCCGGGGCTGGTGGCCTTGCACTGCCCTGCCGCGGGCACTAGCAGCCAGTGGCCCTGGGTCCCTAGAGAAAGCGTGCCCTTTTCCATGACCTACATCCCCCACGCTCCTGAGAACACGAAAGGCTGTATAATCACTGAAAAACTGAACTTGCAAATGTCATGCTTGTGCCTCCTCAAGGTGCATCTGTAATTGGAAGCCTTTATTGATGAGTTTCGGAAGCATTGTAGCTTCTGAGATGCAGCCTCTACTGAGCTCTAAGCCGAGAGGCTAATCCGCTCAGCACCAGCCTCCCTCAGTGGCCCTCGCTCGCCTGTCCCAGTCGCCCAGAGCGCAGTAACGGCCTCCTACCAAGCAGGCCTGGCCCCGACTTCGGTCACACCAACTCCCCCGAGCCCCTCCGGGGCCAGATGGAGACTAGGAGCACCCCTGTGAGCCCCTCGGAGAAGTGCGAGGTCAGCGCTGACCCTGGTCCTGCTGGTCCCACGGGCGGGAGGCCAGGCCCACGCGGGACCTCACGGCGCTGCAGGTGCGCCCCGTCAGCCTGGAAGAACCCCTAAGCCAGAGGCTGCTTTTAACACCTTTTCATGCTGCTGTGAAGGGTAAGGAAACTGAGGCAGGCAGGCCGGCGATCAAGTAAAGCAGGTGGATGGAAGCCGGGTTTGAGCCCAAGCTGAGCACCCCTGGCCCCGCTGGAGACCTCGTGAGACCGAGGGCCGCGTATGTCCCCGTGACCCGCACGCAGCGGCCGAGCAGGCGCTCCGCGGGGCAGGGCTCCGCCCACCCGCCCCTGGACCTGCCGCCCTGCGGAGAGCTGGGCGGTGGGGGGGCTCGCGAGGCCCCCGGGGGCTGCTGCCCCTTTGAGAAACTAGTGTTACTGCAAAATGGCTTTTCCGCCAACTCTTCTTCGGGCTTCGGCTCGCGTTCCGAGCCTTCACCTCAAGGCCAGGTGCAGCGGCCAGGCGCTGTCGCAGGGCTTCCCTCCGCGCCCGCGGGCTCGCAGACGCCTCAGTCTCCCACTCCGCCGAATGGGCTTCGGACCCGGGCTCCGCGCGGCGGGCAGGCTCCGGCCGCCGGGAGTGAGGGGGGCGCCGCCCCGCCTCCCTGCCCGCAGGTGCGCCCCCGCCCCCCGCCGCCGGGCAGGGACACGCTCACACCGGCCCCGCCCCGGCCCCGCCCCGCGGGCTCATTTACATGCGGCCTCGGCCCCGCCCGGGGCGGCTAAAGCGACGTGTCCTTGTCCCCCGTGGGCAGCCCCGGCGCGTGCAGCTGCGGATCTCCAGGTAAGTGGGGGTGGGGGATCCCGGTGGGGCCGAGGGGAGAGGACCGAGCGGCGGGTCCTGGTGGGGTCGCGGTGAGGGGGTGGAACGGGGGGGGGGGGCCGCCCACGTGGTGGGACCGGGGGCTGTGGCAGGCTCGGGCCACTGTCGACCTCTGACCGCGGACAGCTGCCCTATGTCCGCAGCGGTTCTGGCCCCAGTGCTTTCCCTGCATGGGTGACATCCAGCGGGCCGCGGGTCAGGGAGGTGGCTGGAGCGGGCGCCTGTCCATCAGGGCAGATGGGAGGCGCGGCAACCTCAGGCAGACCCTGCGCCGAGCTAGCGTCCCGCCACGTCTCTGGGTGGTCTGAGAAAAGTGTTGAAGGCCACCTAAGCTCAGGGGGCAGGGAGGAGCGGGGGGCCAGGGCAAGTTCCGGGGATCAGCCCGTGTCGAGTTGAGAGGGGGCACCAGAGAAAAGTCTGAGGGGATCACCGTGAGGTCAAACGGGAATGGGGTGGGGGTTCGGCTCAGGGCTTCCACGTGTGAGGGGGAAAGGGCCTGGGGTCACTGTGCACCAAGTGGGCAGCTGCCACTGGGCAGTGAGAGGGCTGACGGGCTCGGCTGCCCTGAGTGTCCGCTGGGCGTCCTAAGCATCCACCAGCCTGCCGTGTGACCACAGGGTGGCCTGTGTTCTGGATTTCAGTTCCAAGGGCCTCCCTGAGAGCCACCACCTGCGGGGACAACTAGCCTGGAGCCATGAAGACCAAGAACCGGCCCCCCAGGCGCCGGCTGCCCCCGCAGGACACAGAGGCCACCGCAGGGGAACGGACCCCGGACAGGCCCCAGCAGGGGTCGGGGCTGGAGCTGGCCAAGGGTCTGCGGAGCAGGACGGCGCGGGCGCAGGGGGCGCGGGCGGAGGGCGGGCGCCGGCGGCCGGGACCCTCGGGGCCCGGTGGCCGGCGGGAGAGCAGCGTCCAGCGGCGGCTGGAGAGCAACGAGCGGGAGCGGCAGCGCATGCACAAGCTGAACAACGCCTTCCAGGCGCTGCGGGAGGTCATCCCGCACGTGCGGGCCGACAAGAAGCTCTCCAAGATCGAGACGCTCACGCTGGCCAAGAACTACATCAAGTCGCTGACCTCCACCATCCTGACTATGTCCAGCGGTCGCCTGCCAGGCCTGGACGGGCCGGGCCCCAAGCTCTACCAGCTCTACCAGCAGCAGCAGGTGGCTGGGGGCGCGCTGGGGGCCGCTGAGCCCCAGCCCGAGGGCCACCTGCAGAGGTACTCCACGCAGATCCACAGCTTCCGAGAGGGCTCCTAGCGCCCGGCCTGGGGGTCGGCGGCCGGGCCCGCTCCTCCCGGCCCTGCTGCCTCCGCGCCGAGAGCCCCAGGTTGGAGGCGACGCCCCGCGTGGACGTGGGCCCCGGCGGTGGCTCCATTTTCCCTGAACACTCAGCTGCCTCCGCGGAGCACGTCCTGGCCTCTAGGGGACAAGACCAGTGAGTGGCCTGGTCCGGGCCATGGCTCTGGGCCGCATGAGGCCCAAACCTCCGCAGAGGTCCCAGGACCTGCTTTTTAATTGACTGAGGCCCCATTGGACAGGCCTTTGTAACTAAATTCTCTTCACTCCCAACTCCCTCCTGAGGCAAGGGGAGATTCCAGGAAAAGGTCAGTTTGGGTAAGTTTCCCCAGTAACTGCAGAGGCCCAGGCTCCGGAAGGGTCCTCCTCCAGCCTGCGATGTAGCCTCCTCATTCGGGGTAAACTGAGGCACAGAGCAAGCAGAGCCCACGGCCACGGAGTGTGGCTAAGCCGACATGATTGATGCGTGTAATTCAGCATGTGTCCGATAGAAACCCCAAAACCCCTAGAAATACTAATCCGATTACCTCAAATTAATTCTAAAGGGACCTTGGCAGGAAGAGCGGCTCGGACCTTTTCCTCCCTCCGCCTGGGTGGGGGCTCCTGACTGTGGAGGGGCACGCGGCCTGGCACTGCGGGGCCGGAGACAGGTCTGGGAGGGGGGCCGGGAGTCGCTGCCTCCCTCCGCGTCCCACCCATCATACTGGTCACTGCCGGGGTCATGTCAGTGGCAGAGTCTGACAGAACTTCAGGGTGTTCTTGGGCCCTGCTTGGAGTTGGGGGCCCGGCAGGGCTCTTCTGTGGAAAGGAGCCTGGGCTGGCAGGAGCTGCCCTCCCCCACCTGGTGCTGCTCCTTCAAGGCGGGCCCGGGCAGTTTGGCAGGTCCCTGGCCGCCTCAGGCCAAGCTTCCTTCTGTGGCGACAGGCTTGGCGACTTCGCCCTCAACGCCCCCTGGCATCTCTCCTCCCTCATCCCTGTGCCCACAGCCAGTAGGGGGAGGGGCCAGGGCAACCTTGGCAGCCTCAGGCAGGAACCCCAGTGACAGGGGCTGTGGGGAGGGTAGGGGTGGCCTGGCATATGAGGCCAGAGCTGTCCCCGAGGCGCTGGGGGGCCAAGCCCCTCCTGGGTGGGGGCCCGAGCAGCATGGGAGCAGGGCTGCCCCAGCGGAGGGCCGCCTCCCACCCTCCCAACCCCGGCGGTCCCGGCCCCAGTCGCTTAATCCACCGCCAGGCTTGGTGTCAGCGTCAAGGACAGCAGGGAGCAGAACAGCCATTAGCCCCATCGGTCCTCACTTTCCAGGTCAGACGCTGGCTGGACCCTCCGCAGGCTCCATGCCAGGCCCTCTGGAGGGTGGCCCTGGGAGGCCCGGTCTGGCCCCAGCCATCCTTCAGCACGGTCAGGTGGGGACCCAGGTGCTCCTGGCCTGCCCCTCGGAGGCGGCCACTCGGGAAAGTCCATGGTCAGGACATCCTGCCGATGGGAGCCGAGGTCGGGGGCCGCCTGGAGCTCGGGACTGATGGGGCCCACGCTCCCTGTGGGTGCCCTGCCGGCCGGGACCCAACACAAGGCCTGCAGAGCTCAGTGCACCCCCGAACTGGCTGAAGGAACCAACAGACTGAGCTGAGGGCACCGGGGGCGGGGGGCGCCCAGCAGAGGCTCTGTCCGGGAGGCCGTGCCCGATGACCAGGGGTGGTGTGAGGGTCTGTGGGTCACCACCTTGCAGATGACAGCTTTCAGAGCTCCTTCTGTCCCAGACTGGCACCTGCATCCGCTCTGCTTCCCAGAGGGTGACGTGGGCCCAGATGTCTGGTCCTTCTTCCCCTGTGGCCTCATCACAAAAGACCCTTAAAGGTCCCAGTGGAGCTTTGGGGTGTTAAATATGGGGGGGAGGGGAGGGGAAGGGTCTGGTGACGGGCCAGTGAGGCCTGCTGCTGGGTCTGCTCCCTCGGCCTTTGTCTTGGGCCTTCCTGCCCTGCAAGGGCGCCCAAAGCCAGCGACCCCCCAGCCCCGGGCCTCGCACCCACCTGCAGACCGGACCTGCGTGAGCTCTGAAGGCCGAGATCCCCGCGGACTGGAGCCCAGAAACCAGAACTGCGACTTCTCTGTGTGGGAAAACCTACCCGGAACTGAATGGCCAGTGCCCCTGCTGTAATTGCGGTAAAAATGTTTCTTAAGTGACCCAAATCTGCTTTGATTTCTCCTAATGGTCCCTTCAGAGTACTAATGAAACCAATGCTGTGTCATAAAACAAAATTAAAAGATTCTACCACGACTGCTACTGTGGCCCCAGGCTGGACACTCATGGGGAACTGTGCGTTTTCATCACAAGGTAGCAATAAAAAAACTAGCACATCCTTTGCGCTCTGGTGTGAGTTTTTATTGACTAAAGCATCCAAGGAATCGAGATGGTTCGGTGGTGCTGAGCAGGAAGACGGTGGGCGCTCAGCCCCGAGGACAGTCGCCCAGCCACGGACAGTGAGTCACCGCGGAATGGCAGGTCACTGCTGTAGAAGAAACCCGCAGTGCCCAGCCGGAGACAACCTGACAGGTGTGAACACCCAGGACAGCGTCCCCAACCCACACTCGCCCCTCCCGGTCGCACCTCCCCAATTCCAGTGCCCTGCAGCAGGGGGCCTCGGAGGAGACCTCCTTCGGGTCAGCCTCTGCTGACAGGCCCCACCCTGACCATCCCCCCCATGGGAATTCCAGGGAAGGCCGGAGTCCGTTCCTTTTGTCCCCAGATGAGCGAGGCCCACTTGGGCTCCCATGGCCTCCAGGCAAAGCGTCTGGTTGCAGGAAGCACACTGGAGGCTTCGCCAAAGGGGCCGTGATCACATAAGCAGCCGCAGAGAAGGGGCGCCTGGCCGGCTCGGTTGGTACAGCCTGCGGCTCTTGATCTCGGGGTTGTGGGTTTGAGCCCCACAATGGATGTAGAGATACTTAAAAATAAAATCTTAAAAAAAAAGCAGAGAAGCTGCAGGATGGGCGGTGCCTTCCTACGGGCCTGGAGAGAGGGCTCCTGCCCTGGCGTGCGGGGCTTGGGGCTGCGGCCGGCAGACCCCGTGTCCCCACGGCCCCTACCGCCTGATCAGACACGGGGTGGGGCGGGGTAGGGGAGGCTGGCTGGGGGCGAATGCCAGCAAGTTCTGCACGCAGACAGCTTCTCCCAGCCCTGCCAGGGGCTCGTGCCCACCCAGGAGAAAGACACCCCTCCCCAGACTTTCCTTCCAAGCTGCCAACTCTCGCTTAACTTCTGAAATTAAACCGTATTCTCGCGTCTGGCTCTGAGAAAGCATCCCAGAACAGTGCAAAGTGGCCCTGAGCCCCACAGCCATTTTCTTTGTGCGGGGGGAGAGGAGGCGTACCCCATCTGTTTGGGGACACTGGGGGTTTTGTGGAATTGGCTTCCCTGGGGCAGCATTCCTGGAAGGCTCCAGGTTCTCGTTCTGGAAAGGCGGGAGGCAGATTGGGGAGGGACAGGTGGGAAGGGGGCCCCCAGCCCGCTCCGTGGCCCTCCTTGCAGACAGGGACACGTGTGGGAGCATCCACAAAGCTTCACATTTCTGGGCTGGTTCAGCCAGTGCCTCTGAAGTGGCCGTGACCTGAGGCCAGGTTCCCTCCAGGATCCACATTTAAGAATGGCTCAGACGGAAAGGCTCACTGTCAACCCTGATCCTTCACACCTGCATGAAACCTGCTTCAGGTGACGGGGGGAGGTGGCCTCAGCAGCAGACAGGGCCGCGGGCCTCGTGCGGGGCTCCGGCCGCCCTCGAGGGCGTGCTGGGGAGGCCCGGCTCCCCACTCCAACCAGTGGCTGTCTCCTGGGACCTGCTCCTGAGGGCTCTGGTGGCATTGGCCCGGACGGTGATGTGATCCCAGCCCCCCTGGAAGGAGAGAGCCTCGTCACCCACGGCTGCCGGGGTCAAGGGGAGAGACCACGCTTCCAGACTGCAGGAGATCAAGGACCCCCGGGGGGCTTGGGGCCTCCCACCCACCCATGGTCACCACGCCGCCCTGGGGCCAGGTAAGCCGCCCGCATAGGCCTTGCTCACCCCGATGCCGTAGTCCCAGCCCTGGCCCTTGGGCTGTCGAGGCTGCACGCCAACGCGATGGCACACGGTCCCCCGGCTCAGGCTGTGGCTCCCCGGGACCTTGTTGGCGATAATCCAGACCTGGAACACAGACCCGGTGAGGGCCCAGCCCCCAGCTCCGGTGGGACCGTGGGGATGACAGCGGGGAGACCAGAGCAGGAACCCGGAGCACCCCAAGCCCCCAGGGCAAGCGTCCGCCTTCGGCCCCCGCCCCACGCCCCCCCCCCGGGCACCCAGACCTGGTCCAGGGGCCCCACGGACACTCGGCACACGTTGTTGGACACGTGCTCCCAGCTGGAGCCCTGCGGGTAGCTGGGCGTCACCCCTTGGCGATACCACAGGTTCCCTGGAGAGAGAAGGGCCCAGAGTGTTGGGACCCACTTCGGGGTCTGGCCACGGAGACAGAGGCGGCTGTCCCCACACCTGCTGGGGCTCCTGCCGACCCAGGAAGAGAAAAGCCGGGGCCGGAGCCAGCTCCACGCCCTCCACGCTGGACTCCACCTGAGCCTCAGCATCGCCCCGCTGGGCTGGGGCGCTATCGTCGCGCTCTCTACGCGTGAGAAACGGAGGACAAGGAATTGTTCAAACAAATACAGAGAACAGGGTCTGGACGCAAAGCCCTGGTTCCAGTTCCGACTCTGCCCTTCTCCTGGCCTTGCTCGTCAAGAGGACAGCCGGAAAGCAGGAAAGGGAGCTGGCGAGAGCCCTGCCCGCGGCACAGGCGGGTGACCTCCGCCGGCCCCAGGCTGCCCCGGGGGCAGAGCTGCCGCCCCCCCCCCCGGCCCCGCACAGCTGGGTACAGGGACTGGTTCGGAGGCTGACCTCAGGCTGACGGGCTCTCATGGTGGCTTACAAAGCTCTCGTGTCAGGGACCGGGCCTGGTGAGGGTCTTGTCCCACTAGGGTGCTCGGGGAAGCCTTAGTGTCCCCTGGTGACCACTGAGGATCAGAGACAACTTGCCGTTTTCGTCCAAGGCGTAAACCGACGTCTGCCCCACGGACACCTGCTTCAGTCTCTGCTTGGGAGGGGACGGGATGTGGTACCAGCAGTCGCCTGCGGCGCAAGGTCGGACTCAGGGTGCGGCCCAGTGACCCCAAACCTGCCACCCCATGTGCTCGTGGACCACGTGGCCTCCCCTGCAGCTCGCAGGCTTGAGGCAGGAGTGGCCGGCCTCTGTCCCCAGGCCAGCCGGGCCACACACACGTGACGGGGCCCGGTGTGAGCTGCGGGCCAAGCAGAGCAAAACCCCCAACACCCCACCTCGCCCAGGGCCCTCAGCGGCTGTGGCAGGTTCCAGACGGTGGGGGCCAATGGGACGATCTCGGAACAGGGACACCAAGGTGCTCAGCCCGGCACGCGGTGGACAGTCCATCTTGGGGCCACCACGCACACCAGTGTCACCATGTCCCGTCCCCGTGTGGAGGGCAGCAACGTGCGAGCCACCACCCGTCTGTCGGGACACCCGACATCCAGCCAAGAACAAGCCAGCGTGGCCTGCACGCCCAGAGGGTTGTAGAGCAGTCAGGAGGCCATGCAGGGCCACCCCAGGAGGGCGCCCCGAAGGGCAGGACGTGCGAAGTGCTCACGACCAGCGATGCCCTGGGCTGGAGGCCAAGGCTGGTGAAGGGCGGCTGTGAGGGACCGCCCCGTCACTGGGATGACCGCCCCCCAGGCGGTCCCAGCGGGAGGGGGTGAGGCCTCTGGGCGTCCTGGCTTGGCCCCAGTCCACAGGCGGCCCTGGCTCCACGCTTGTCCAGCTGAACTGAACATGAAGAGATCCATCTTCCTTCCTCCAGAAGCAGAAGCACGTGCAGCCTCGCTCTGACCAGCCCCGGCCACCCCTTGTCCCCACTCACAACTGGCGGGGACCCTCCTCGAGAGGCAGCACTCACCAGCCGGTTGCGTGGGGGACACGGAGCCCCGGTAGAAGGCAGAGCCGTCCCTGGCGACGGCCCACACCTGGTGGCAGGCCCCGATGGAGACGGACGTGAAGGGCTGGTCGGTGCCCACGTGCAGCCAGGAGGAGCCCTGGGGATGGGAGCCAGGGGGGACACTGAGGCTGCCGGGGTCCAGCCTCTGCCCCTCCCCCTGCCCAAGGTCCCAGGAGCTAGTGACCCCCTCGGGCCACCCACAGTGTCCACCTGCCCCAGGGACTGTCCTGGGCAGGCCCCGGGAGGCCGGAGCCCAGCTGGACTTTGGTCCAGAGTTCTCCTTTGGGAAGAACCTGCCGGAACCCCAGGAGGGCCCAAGGGCTGACAGGTGGGCAGGCCCAGGGGCCCTTCGGAGGCAGGGTGCTCACCGCGGGGTTGAGCTCTGACACGCCCAGGCGGCACAGCACGTCCCCCTTGTCGCTGACGGCCCAGAGGGCGATGCTGTGCCCACTTCTGTCGGTACTTGGGCTCTCTGGGATGATGGACACGTCCCCAAGGGTGATAGGGGCCACCTCCAGCCAGGGCCCACTGGTCACCAGCTTACATTTTCTGCACAGTGGAAGAGAGCAGAACCCAGGGGTCTGATGCTACGGCAGGCCACCTGCTCTGGACGCGTAGGCAGGAGGCTGCAGGTGGTAGCAGTGGCCGCCCTTCAGCCCACACGGCCTCCGCGGGCCTGGTGGGGAGGGCCAGGACCACCCCCAGCGCCTAAGTGGGCACCCCTTTCCGATGGTCAGGAACGAGGGGCCTGGAGAGGCGGCCCCACCCTGCCCTGCCCCAAGCCAGGCCTCCCATCCCGACCTGCCTGTCCTGCTCAGGGCAGAGCCTGCCAGTGACATTTCTCTTATTTGTTCTTGAAAACAAACTTCAGAAACCAGAGAGCGTTGGGAGCCCAAGGGCATTTCCTGGGCTGACATTTACTTTGATTCTCTTTCCCTCCCACCTCTCTCTCTGCTTTGCTTCCACGCGGACTGGCCCAGGAGAGCCCTGTAGGAGGGGCAGGCCCACAGCCCCCAGCTACCGAGTCACTCCCATCTTTACCTGGCCCAGCACCTTCTCCTGACAAAATCCTTCATAGTTTTGTACCCATGGTACGAGCTGCAAGAGAAAGAAACCAAAATCAAGACCACTTTGTGGAAGTTTCCAGAAAGGGACCCTGCGTGCGTGCACGTGCACACACACACATTCTTTTCCCACTTGTGTAGGGCAGAGCCTCCGTGTGAGCCACAGAGTGGGCTCCACAGACAGCAGGTACCCCAGGACACGAGGCTTGCCTGGCCGGGGTCTCTGGGGCTCAGGTCTCCCCGGGGTCGGGGTCTCCAGGGGCCAGGAT